GTATATATTTCCATGCTGTTTCTCTACTATTCATAGACTCATAGACTTGAAAATATTTTCAAGTTGAAAAAGGCCTTTGAGTTCATCAAGTCCAGCCTCTAACCCAGCACTGCCATGTCCACCACTAGGCCATGTAGCACCACCAGCATGATTTTTTAATCCTAAGAAAGCCAAATTATTGGGGTGCTGTAATAAATTGCATTCAAAAATATGTAGTTAAATTAAGGCAAGTAATCGAATGTTTGTGTTGGATATCAAAGTGAGGCAGCACTTTAGAAGTATAACTATACTATATTAGTGCATATATACACTATGTATATAATGTATTATATAAACCTATACTGTATTATTATTATTTTATAACTATACTATTTAGAAGTATAACTATACTATATTAGTGCATATATACACTATGTATATAATGTATTATATAAACCTATACTGTATTATTATTATTTTATAACTATACTATTTAGAAGTATAACTATACTACAAATCAAAATATAAATCAATTTTTATTCCAGTGTCTAGAAGTTTTTCCAGATATTACCTTATGTACTTCAGATGGAAGTTTTCAAGCCCGGCATGACCTGTTGTGTACGTTATTGGTGTAATGCAGTTCACTGTTTCAGAGCAAATTCTGTACTGGCTACAGCTGCTATTAGAAATGTAATAACCATCCTCAGTTGTTTCATTGCTTTGACTGAGATACTCAGAGATGCAGGGGTTTGCTGTCTCCCCAGATGTTTTGAAGACTAATTAGTGTGTGCAAAGCTATTTAAAGACAAGAAGTGCTGTTTGCATGGTAGTAAATATGGTCAATTAATGTTTGTGTTGCGTTTATTTTGCAATTTTTGAATTTGAGATAAGGCATCAAGACATATCATTGGTCAGTATCACAATGAGCTGTGGGTTTAGTTTTGAGAACCTATCCTGACTTCTTGCACTTTACTATTTCAGCTTCTATGGTTTTTAATTTCTTCATTATTTTTATGTCAAATAGCTTTACATAAATTTTAATTTTGACCAAGAAGACAATTGCAATTAACTTGGAGAGGAAATATTAACTGAGTCAGAGCTGAAATTAGTATTTTTCTTTAGGGCCACTAACCCTCTGAACTTTTGTGTAGTGATAGAGCTAGTCAGAACACTGACTGCAATCACACATTGCAATCATCACAGGAGATACTAACAGATCTGCCTGCTAATGTCAATAGAGATTGTGATTTTATGTTATAAAGCACAAATCCAGAGCTTGAAACCATGGGGTAGGAGGGTGCAGAAGGAGAAGGAGGAATAAGAAAAGGAAGCCTTTTTCCTGATTCTGCACATGTTCAAATAGCAAAGGCACAGTGTAGTTGCACTAAAGAGAAATAGGTATGTTTTAATTTCAACACTTGGTTACAATGCTGCAGCTTTAATTGCATCAGTAGTATGAAAAGAGCATTAATTGGCATGCACTTTTCCAAAATAATTTAAAGTACAGAGAACCTGATCTGTCACCTGCCAGTCTCAGTGTGAATCTAATTTGTAATGATAGACCATACCCATCCCCATTCACTGTGTCATTTTTTTAATTGCTGTCTTTGTTCAGTCTCAGCATTTGGCTGTCACATCTTTAAGAAAAATGGTCCAACTGTTTTGCCACTTGCTCTAAGAAATAAGTTACTCTCAGCATATGGAGGCTTTCACAAACAATATGCTTTCAGTTTTCTGTGCTTTGGATTTCTCCACAGAAAATTGGTAAAGCTAGTGTGAGATTAACTAAAAATTCTGCTGTCCATATCAGCAGAGCCTGCATAAACTTCTTCTGCACAGGAGCTAGCTAAGGAGGTGGGTTTAATGTGCATCCTGCAACTGAACTTCCTGTAGTGGAACAGCACAGAAATAAGAACTGTGCTGAAAGGCAGGGCTTGCTGATGAAGAGATGCCACCTGCCAGGCCTGTCCAGTGCCTCTGGTGTCACCCCTTCCCTCCCTGTGCCACTGCCCCACTCAGCCTGGTGGTGGTGGCAGATGTGCCCTCGATGCCACTGCCCAGGCACCCACAAAGGGTTAAAAGTGCCAGTCCCAGAGCCATGGGCACTGCTGCCAGGGCTGTACCCAAAACATTCTGGAGAGTTCCACTAAGAGCCTAAATGAACCTCTTCCTGTTACTCAAAGCTCCACACTGACTTCATCCAATGCACTTCAGCACTCGTGTTAGAAGTGCCAGTAAATTTTTTTTTGTCTGTACTTGAATGTTTTTCAAGTCTGTTCCTCCTGGAGATAAAAAAAATATTGAAAATGAGAAAATAAGAACAGTTCATTTTTAGATGTTTAGGTTCATGTTGCAATCTAATCACTCACCTATTTCCATCAAAGTAATTAGAAATATTATTTAGTAGTAATTGCTTTGATTTTAACTGGTCTTTCTTGACATGTGACGTTCTTCAGTGTAATGTGCTGCTTTGCTTTAAAAACATTGATCACACTATTGGTTCTCCAAGATGACAGGTTTTCTTCATAAATATCAGCTCTGCTGTTTTCATGTTATGTAATTTATCATCTTTTAATTTCCTTTGGTTTGGTGATTTTTTTGGTAACTCTTTGCTGTATAATTCTATCTATGATTTTATTTATGTTCAAATACTATTGTCTGGCAAAATGATAGTATAAAATAAGTCTGTGTGAGCTTCACACAGTCCAATTTTTTTATAAGTTGACTTTACCATTTTATAATTCTAAGCAAACATTAATTTTTATATAGCAGGGTTTAGAAGTTTATTTTACACAGCCACAAGAAATTTCATTTTCATTTCTAACAAGCCAGAAAAAGAATAGCCTGGAAAACAGATATAGTTCTTGTGGAGCATTCCTCTTGGAGAGAGTTTTATCTTGAGCAATAAGTCTGACATTTCAAGGCACAGTATGACAGGTTTCATATAAGTTTAGGAGTAAAGGGCCATGATTTGCTACCCTTCTGTTGCTTTTTCATTCAACCTTATTAATTTCAAAGGGACATTTCTTGACTATGTTTCAACCAAAAAGTGGCTAATAAGGAAGGCTGAAAATGATGATAAAATGGAGATGTAGGCAAATATATTATTTTAAGAAGGTTCATTTCTTGTCAATTCAATATTCAGTGAATATCTTCATGTTCTTCTAGAAATTCATAGAAGCTGAATCAAAGTGGATCTCATCTGAGAGGAACTCATCAGTAAATTAGATGAAAATAATAACCAGACTTCACATCAAATTCTCATGTTTCTGTGTTTAAATCAGTCCATATGTGGCAGGGAACAGAACTTTGAGAATGGATGTTTCCCATGTTTTCCTGTGCTGTAGTTCTGGTACCTTCTTTGACTTCTTTATTTCCAATCCATACGAAATAAAATATCTCATCAGAGTTTTCATGTGAAAGTGAAAACTTGAGAGTGTTTTTTGACTAAAGTAAAGAGTCCTTAGACATTAAATTCATCAGTTGTGGAACTGAATTTAACAAGAATGACCTGAGGAAAAATCACTGTGGCAAGAAGTTAAGTGGAAAGCAGTTAGTGGCAGAAGTGGAAGGAGTTTTTCTAATACAGGGTGTGCCAGGATGACTGGCAGGGTTATGAAGTGCCTTGGCACCCTCAGGGTATCGCTGGGTGGACAGCCCTTTCCATCAACAGCTGCACAGAACATAATCAATGGGGAGGAAGGGAAGTATTTTTGTGTTTGCACTGAATCACTGTGTAAAATGGCTGGAGGGAACAAAGAATGTAATGACATGTCTGGGTTATAGAAGAGCATCTAGTAAAGCAAGAGTACAACAACCCTCACCCAAAAGCTTTTAAAGCACAAAACCAATCAAGTTAAAAGAATAATGTTTCAGCCCTACTACCCTGGGCCTGCTCTCACTCTTGTTCCAGAAAAGATTTACAGCTGATTTCAGCCTCCTTGCTTAGTCATTCTCATGAAATATATTGTAAGGGCTTGTCTCCCCTTCTGTAAGTCAGAGAAAACTCTTTTAGTCAGCAGGGATTAGGTAAGAGAAAAGTTGAGTACCTCAGGAATTTCTAATTGAAACTTGATGTTCCTCTGCTTCCTCCATCCTTGAGCAATAGTATTTGCCCCCTGGTTCTGAAAAAGGTTTAAAAGGAGAGCACTGGTAACACTGCTTTAGCTTCAGACTGAGAATTGAGAACAAAAGTGGGCGCACTTCAATCAAGTTTAGGGAGGAAGAGTTCTGTAGAGTCACACATGAGGGTCAGTAGACATCCTTAGCATGCTTCAGAAGAGGCAAAATCCACTTGGAGTGGAAGGCAGAAGGGCAGCTGAGTATGAAAAGCAAAATCCAAACCTCTTAGGATTCATGCTGAATGTCTGTTCTAACAGGAAATTTGAGAGTCAATTGTTATTTCAACAACCTGTTCAGGTGAATGAGCTCCCTCAGAGCTCTGATCAAGAGCAGAGTGGAATTCCTGCTCTTCTGTGTGAAGTGCATTTTTATTTTATTCTTAGATGCATTATATTCTTAACTCTCTTGAATTTCCCACTGGAATTGCTCTCTGATGGGAAACAGGCTAAATCCCTGTGCTCTTTACATTGCATTTCTTCAGCTCATAGCCTGAGTTTGTCAAGCATAGAGGATGGATGGGGATGATGTGTGGGGTGTTTTGGGGAGGTAATTGTGGAAGAAACTCCCAGCAGCCAGAGAACTAGACAATAAAGAACATTTGTTCTTCAGTGTTAAGTTCTATTTTGGCCATGCCTGATCCAAATTCACGTTATTTAAATTCATCATGCCACATGTATACTTTTCCATAGGAAAAGGCCAAATTTGAAGCCTTATTCCAGCTCTTGCCAGGAACTCAAGATGGTCTGACTGAATTTAACCTCACATATAATTTGACCAAAATTTGTCTGAATTCAAACTTTATCACGAGTCTCACTTCTTTACCTTTGCTGATCAAAGCAGGGTATTTGTTCTGTGAATTTAATGTTGCTGTAAAGTGATTTTATTTCCCTATGTTTTAGGGAGATTGACTTTGTCATGGAAGCTGTTGGAAAAGCTACAGGAAAACAAGAGGTAATTTCAATAGAAATAGGCAGAATGATGTATTTTCCTTTTGAAAGAGAGCTCTCATAGAAGCCGTTGAGGTCATGTACCTTACCAGTGCACAGTTAAATATCAAACATTGATTTACTTAAATGTGGAGATTACTAAAATGATAGTGAAAGGAAGCTCTGCTACCAGAGCTGCTCAGTATTTCTGTGGTAGGGTTTCAAAGTTTCATAACATCCTCTATCAATCTGTCAGCATTAATAGTGATGTGTGTTTGTTTTTCCAAATGTGCGTGTATATATTATAACCCACAAAACTGTATAGCAAAACCAGATAATTTTATGCTCTGATCTGGTCTTTAAAATCTATGAGTAGCTCCCTGCTACTGGTGCTCTGCTCACAGATCTGGTGCTTCATTTAGCCCCAAAGTATCTTTAAGTGGGAAAAGTTTTATGGAGCATTGGCAAATGCCTTAGTTCAGACATTGGACTGTGGTATCTCTTAAAATATAATGCTGTTAGATACCATTTATATGTTTTGTAACACGTATTACTAATGTTCCTCCTGGACTCACAAAATTATCTCTACCTTCTAAATCTGTCAATAACAGAACTGTAAATGGTAAATCATATTTGGTAATATAATTAGTAAGTTTTAAAGGTTTGACATTTTCCATCTTCTGCTATTTAAATTGATTTTTATATAAAGCAATTAAGGACATCCTTTTTCCATTAAGGAAATTATATTTAACTTCTGTTGTGATAATGTATGTTATATATAGAAGAGAGAAGGTAGTTGATTTCACTTTTTTCCCCTGCAAGGTCATTTTCATTGCTGCTGGTGGTGTAATTTTTCAGAATAAATATATTAATAGGTGGTGCTCTTAGCACAAAATCAATCAAGAGTTCAAATATAAATATTTCTTCTGACATAATTACTGTCATGAATGAGAAATTATTTTAATTCACTAAACAACTTTAGGCATTTGACAGATTAATAAGCAGTATGGAAAGTGTCACCTGAAAGCTATAACATGAGCACTTTACTTTCTTGTCTGAGATTATTGCTTATTGCTGGAGTTTTCCATGACACTTCATTAGGATGGTGGCAGACATAAATAAATACACACAGTTATGATGAAGAGCTTTTGAATGTGCTTTACACATTGAGCTGTTTGGAACAGAGCAGTGTGAGAGCAGCAGAGTTACTCTGGGCAAAAAGATGAAAATAGCCCTGCTTGAGATTATTTTGTTTCCTGAAAAAATTCTTTAGGAACAAGAATTTCTTATTTAGTTGTTGCTAATCTCAGTATTCGTTTTTGCAAACCAGTGTTTAGCTTTTCTCTGTGTGCACATCACTCTAAGGCAAAGCACTGGCATTGATTCCATAATGATTGCAATTAATTGCATAAATTGCTCACTGTAACCTCCAACTAGGTTTTGTGCAAAAGTCCAAGGGAGATATTTTTGTCCTACAGCTTAGTCAGAAATGCAAGTAAGAACATAATTTCTTAAGATTTCTGCTCTGTGATTTGCTTCAGGAGAAAAATGGTGAGGAACAGATTAAAATTATACTTTTATGAGTTTGCTAAATTTTAGATAACTCCATAGGCACTAACAGTGTCTAGCTGACTCTGTCTGACACATACACAGAAATGTTTTTCCCTGTCTCATTCTGGATTAAAACATTCCAGAGAATTCTTTAACACACATGGGAGAAAGTCCTAAACTGTATCATCTGAACTAGGCATAGAGCAGGAAGGGCTGGCTAGGTGATCTCCAGAGATACATTTAAACTTGAATTGTTCCAGAATTCTGCAATACATGATGATTTTTAAAAGAAAAATATCTGTATTTCTAACAGAGATTGCCCAATTCTTCCCCAACATGTTCTTATGGAGTAGTCAGCAAAGATACAGTGAACATAAGAATTCCAGAGCTGAGGTCAATGTGAATATCCCTAGACCTGATCTGTGCACTGCACTAGTGAGTATCCAAGAGTATTAGAAACTTTGTTAAGGAAGTGGAAGGGTGTTTTGAATTTTTTTTTCCTGTCTTATAAGTTTTTAATTTTCTTTCCTGTTTAATTTTCTATTTTGTTCTTGTTATCTCATAATTCACAAAATAACAATTTCAATCAGACTGGAGTAGCTTCAGAGACTTGTTCTCAATGAAATGGTGTCTTTTCTCCAGTAAAAATTATTTTCAAGGGATTTTCTTCTAGACTTTATTGTAATACTTTACATTCTGACACAGGAGGAGATTGCATACCCTTGGAAGTAGCTTACAAAGTTTGTGACATGTCATATCCTGTCTCTCCAATTGTTATGATGCACTTTTAATAAGAATTTCCATAGGAACACATATTCATCGTAGATGAAGCTGCATACAGAGGTAATATGTAAAAAAATGTTCTTTTGCTGGTAATATGTAAAAACAAAATGTTCCAGTGGTGTTCAGTTCATCAGATTCTGTACTTGGCATGCCAATCTTCACTCCATTAAGGTACCCTGCATAACTTTTCCAAGGAAAAAATATTATAAGCATAACTTAAAATGCTCTGCCACTGCCATAGAATCCCAAATGGCTTATTCAGCATTCTTTAAATGGTTTTGTGGTTTCATAGTGCACTTAGTTATTTTAAAATATCTGTGGACAAGAGCATTCTCTTTGAAGACAGTCGGGAGGTAATATTCAATTATCTTCATGATAATAGTGCCACTTCTCCAATAATGCTGCTAGATGTTTTCTTTATTCCTCTTAATTGATCCATTTTTTTCATCTTTCTACTCAACCACAAAGACAGATGGAAGGCTGCTTTCTTTTTATGTGATTATTCCATTCTTGAGACTCAGATTTTTGGAAAGGGCTGGAACACCACAAACAGTCTTTAGTTTTAACAATGTTAATAAGAGTGTGTCGATATCTATGCTTGTATTTTATTTGAAGCAAAAATAATATTTTATTTAGGTCCCAGACCTTATCTTGTGTACTAATGGCATTGTGGTCTCAATTAGAAGGTAGGAATTAACTTTCTGCCATTAACAGGAATCAATTTAATATATGGAATTCCTTTTCTCTTTAAAAAAAAAAATAGATGTTGCTTATTTATAGTCGAGTTCAATGTTAGATTTTAAACTTCAAAGCATTTCATAGAAACCTGCATTTCATGTTGGTGAATTCAGTGAAGTGAAACTGGACTTTCCAGTGTATTACGTCTGTGAATACCTATAGAGGTAATTTAATTATGAAAATATCTTTATGAAGTAGACAAGGCCTTCTCATTCAGTATTGTAAATGTTGTTTTTTACACACTTGTGCTTCTATTTTCACACTTGCCCACTCTAGGTAGAGAAGATATGAAAAAAATAAATTTCATACTGTGGAAAAAGGAGATAAAACTGGAAAAAGGAAACTACTGTGTGGTTTCTCTTAAGCCACACAGTGTGCAATTAGTGTAGAACTCTGAAATTTGAAGCAGTTAAGGGCAAAAAAATAAAGGCAAAAATGTAAATGAGAAATATGTGTGAACTGAGTACTAAGAAAAATATAGAAATAGTGTTAAATGTAGAGCCATCAACCTTTAGAGACTTTTGAAAATTGATAAATTAAGAATCATGATTATTTCAGGTCTGATTCTTCCTTTCTTTTCTCTTGTGGTGGGTGCTGATGGAGAGGATGAGGCAGGAAGGCCTTGCCTCAGTCAAGTGTGACAGAATTTCTGTTCCCAGCCAAAATCTTGGGCAAATAAATAGGTGACCTAGTTTCAGAGAGTTTCAGAGGAATGAAATAACCACAGTAAAGACTGAGGAGAAGCACAGACAAGGATGTAATGTTCTTGGGACAGAACCTGAACTTGCATCTGCCCTGAAACACCAAAATAGGACTCTCTGCCCCTTTATATCCTTCCAGGCTGGCAAATGATCAGGTGCTCTGCAGAACTGGTCTGAAAATACCTCAGCAGAATTGTTATTGGACATGTGAAATTAGGTAGATAATTTAGTCAGGTAGGCCTGTTTATTTTTTTACTGCTGCAGTTATATCAGAGTTAAAACCTATCTTCATTCTATTTTCCTTACTAAATCAGCAGATTGCATCCTTGCCTTGTGCATCCTTGCCTTGTGTATCCTCTGCACAATGTTTGGAAACTGCATTAACGAACAAACATAATATAGGAGCAGAACATATTGGGAAGAAGTAAAAACAAGATCCTGCATCTTGAAAGATGCAAAATATTTCAACTTAATATCTCATCATTCTCCATGAAGTTTGTTTTCAATTTTGAATTAACAGAGCTCCTGCTCTGACTCTACCGATGAAGAATGATAATTATAGATGGGTTTAATTTCACTGAGAGAGAAAGAGGTGCTGGCTTCTTGCATTTTATTAGCATGTGGAACACTGGGGAAAAGGTGTTTGTTAATTCACTTCAGCAGGAGAAACTGCAAAAATGTCATGTACTTTGGGCTTTCCACTCCTACTATTGCCATTTTTCTCAAGAAGCTACTACAGATTTTTCCAGACTTGTCTGTAGAAAAATAATGAAAACCAGAATTTACTTTCAGTCCAATGGAATTTCAAAATATGTAAGCCAAACATCTTTGGAGTTGTATCATTTAGCTTTAGTATTTTCAGTTCTCCAGAAAACTGTTCCTATTCTTTTCCCCATTCTTGAAAGAGAAAGTCCTCTGGGAAATAAAGTTAGTTTCAATATTAGTTTTTGTCTCCAAAATAACTAGATGAAGTCTTGTTTCTCATCAGTAGATGAAGATAAATACCATTGTTTTTCCATTTAGTCTCCCTTTAAAAGTTTAATAATTCATTGATCTTTAAATAAGTTTGGTTTAATGCCATCAACTTCCAATATAATAAGATAAAATTAACAATTTGCAACTATTGGACTATCCAAACAAACAATTTTAAAGTCTGTACAAGATATAGAATAAAGATTTTCAGCCTATTGCAAAATCAAAGTAGGAATTAGGATGACCTAACTGGAAGAGGGAGGTTTTTGATGTGTAAAGTTGCAGAGGTTTTATTCATCTTATTTCAGTGTCATGAAAATAGGAAAACAATTAACATTCTGTTTCTTGAACAAGACAAGTGAGGGGAATATGCACTACATGGAGATCAGCTGAGATACCTCCCTTTCAATGGGACAGGGTGAAACAGGAGGTTCACTAAGGGATTAAAATGCTCCCGTTTTCCTTGGTGTTGATTTTAGAAAATCCGTCTTTTAAGTGGAACTGGACTTCTCCATGGCATTCTCATTTACCATAAAGAGCCTCAAGTACTTTAGGTAAAGAAAAAACTCCAAAAAAAACAAAACTCAAAAAAAAAAAACCCAAACAAGAACAAAAACAACAACAAAAAAATTAAAAAAAAAAAACCAAACAAAAAACCCCAAAAAATCCCCAAAAGCAAACAAAGAAAAAAATCCACAAAACAAAAACAAAACAAACCCACATCGCAAGGTCAGATTTAAGTTTTGATTCTGGAGACAGAGACAGGTATAGGCCTTTTGTTTTCTGAGTTCTCATTCTAAACATGATATAAATCAATTCTTCAGTGACCCAGATGGCCTGCAAATAATAATCATTTCATTAGTCAGTATTAGTAAATTAACAGGTTCATTAGGCAGTGCTGGTGTCAGCTGCTATAAGGACAGAAAGGTGTTGGGATTTTTTCCTTTTTTAATTGCAGGATGAAATTAACTTTTATGTAGTCCATGCTATTGTCCTATAATATTTATAAAAATGTCATACCTTACTAAATAATCTCAAGATCTAAATACCGTTGGGAAATGCACAGCCTGTGGTGTCAGTGGGAATGGGAAATTACTGACTGAAATTGAAGTCTGCATAGATGTCAGTGCTTGTTGTAAATTCCTCTGTTGGGTGCAGTGCTTGGAGCCATTGGGTTTTTCCTCCTAAATTTTAATTAGTATTGAACTAATTAAAGCAGCATTTTTCTTCACTTCTATTTCTGACAAACATGTAGAAGTAATCCCAGTTAAGACAAGGGAATCCTACTTTTGACAAGATCTAAGCTAAAGCTCCACACTGGAGAAGCACTTCATCACTTTTTTGACATTTTCTTCCTTTACTCACCTCTCACAGTCTCAAAAGAAATTATTTAGTGGACACTGATAAGGTAGCCTAGTATGTCACTGATAAGAGAAGAAAGATAACAGTTTCCAAGATGTATTATCAGAAATCCAGGAGGCTATTAACATATTGAATAAAGATAAGCAGATAAATAACATGTGGCAGCCTCACAGACTGCTGGAATGATCTTCAAGTATTGATTTTGATGAAAGAGTCATTAATCCTTGCAAAATGCATCTTAAATGGTCTCATCTTTTAAGGAAGCAAAATCTTGGACTTCTGATCAATACTATTCTTCCTGTTGATTTCTCTGGCCCAGAACATCACATCAAATTCTCATGAAATCCACAGTCTGAGAAATCAAAATATCCAGGCTTTTAGGATAAATTGATAGTAAAGAAGAACTTTGCAAGTAGCAATCATGGCTAATTTATTGTGGTAGTCAAAATTAAACTGTGAAGTGTTTCATAATGTATTAAATAGTATCATAGTTTAAGTAAGAATTTAATAATTTAATTAACCTTCACATGCTCCTAACAAAATTTATTTATGTAATGCTGGATGTTTGATGCTGTGATTTAATATTTCTCCCACAATAAAGAAAACACTTCAATAATTAATACTGATGCCTCAGGTTTAGCTTTTATATTTTTCAGATTCTGTGCTGCTTCAGTGTGTCAGTGTAGGCTTCATATGAGGGGGTGATGTGCTCTTCTCACAGAGTAGGGAGACAAAACAATTCCTTCTCTAGCTGGGGACCAAGGACAAATGATCCAAATCTCAGTCCTAAGTGCATAAACAACATGGACTGAAGAGAGAAAAAAAGAAGGATGGGACTTCTTGGGGTAAAGCTGTAATTGGACAATTAACTCCAATATG